GTCTATCTGAAAAATTTATTCTCTGAAGCTTTACAACTGTAATCAAACCTCTTAAATAAACTTCTTTGGAAAACATGTCTTTGAACGTAAGCTGAGCGATTTCAACATTATTTTATTTCGCACTCTGTTTTTCAATTAAAATTCTCTTATTTTTGTACCTTTAGTAAAATTTACCAAAGTGTGCTTTAGAAAGAAGGAAGCATGTAAGGAAGTTGAATAATTCTTTGATTTCTCACGGTAAAAGCTAACGTTTTCAACATCTGGCTTCTTTGAAGAACCTACATATACTTATTTGAAACCATTTATGAATTACTTTTTGTTGTGCGACAATAAGCAATGCAAATTTATAGTTCAACAAACCCAGTCTATTTCTTTATGCGCTTACATTGTTCGATAAAGTAAAAAAAAATTTCCAAACTTTGAAACGATAACAAAATTTTCATTGATCACTATAAAACATTTAAACTTGGCTTTTTAATAAACCGTTGCCTTTTTTTACCGTTCGATAATAGTTTCGTATGCTTTACCTTGAAGTTTTTATTTTGATTCTACAATTTGATGACGGTACGAATTCTCAGAAGTTTTTCTGGACGCTTTTTATAATGTATGTTTTGATAAGCTATCGTATCTGATGAAAATAAATTACAGATGTTTCTTGATTAATTGTCATTTTCGCTCTACCATACATTCAATAAATTCATCTGTTTCTGAATAAAGCTGTTGACTCTCTGAGTTTTGGGAAGGAAGTATAGTTATGTTTAGACTACTAAATAGCCAGGAAAGCTTCAAGTTGTTATAAAATAGTAATTTCTTCAATGAAAAAAAATTGGAAGAAATCAGAAAAATTTGGAAAAGTCAGATGAAAAGTGGAAAATTTTGGTTTTTGTAAAACTTTACCGTGTTTGGTCTTTTCACGAATATTATTGTCATTACACTTCTTTCTACTGTCTTAGTTTGTTTATTCTGAGTACTGAATGTGTAACGGTTTAACCAAGAGTTGGAAGACTGCCGTATTTTTTTTAGAAGTTTTCTTTTATTACAATATAACCTATGTTTTCGTGTTTTTTCCCGGTTAACATCAGACACTTTATTCAGCAATTTCATTCTTTCGTTGGGTCAAACATTTTCACTTGTTTATGAATAGGGCTTCTATTTTCATTGAAGAACATTCTCTTCAAATCTAGAATAAAATCCTGTTCAACCAAAGGTTTGTATTAAATTTCTTGTGCAGTACGAATCCAATCTATTGTTTCCCCATAGTATGTCTTGAGTTCTTAAAAAACACTCATAAAATGAGAGAGTTTATTTTGTTACAATTTAAATAGCTGTTTTACTGATGTTGCTAAAATTCGCTTTATGACACGGTATTCTACTGACGCACTGGTTCACTACCACTTTCTGTCTTTTCTGTGGCAATTGTTCAAAACCATTTATATATCAATTCCTGCCCAAATTGGCAATTTTTTAAAATTATTTCAGCAGAACAGATGGTTTACGCAGAATGCTGCATCAGTAGTCTGAGTTGCCGATGTGGCGTTCTGCATAGATCGTGCCAAAAGAGAGCCAATAATTTGAAAAAAATCAGTGATTTACTATCAAACTGGATTTAACAAGAGAGCGCGTAAGAGTGGAACGCCAATAGAAGGGTTTCATGAGGCATATTTTGATACAGAAGAAGACACCACAACTGTTCTGCTAACTTTAGTACTATTTTAATTAGTATGATGTCGAAGAGTGAGTGTTTTGTGCGTCTGGGTTTTTTTTTGACAAGATAAGCCATATACATTGCTGTATAGTCACTCAGAAAACTTTTCTTTTTCTTGCAAAAAACTTTAATGTTCTTTGCTTATCAGATATGGAATACTCTTTCGCTGAGGACGTTTTTGAGTACGCCACAAAAAAAAAGATGTACGAAACATTCAGAAGCTGCTAAATGACCATCAGGAATTTGATAAAGAATTGGTTAAAAAACTTATGGTTAGTAATCGCAAAAAAATTCCACTTTTCCACAACTCCACTTTCCTCAAAATAACGGAAGAAACAGTTGTATTTGCAGAGTTGTTCTGCATAAGAATTTTAACGTTTTAAATTGGAAGTTACTTGAATGGCTATTTAACAGTTAATAAACAAATAATTGTAAAAAAAATAAATAAATAAATAAAGTCGAGGCAGAAATTAAGTGCCGGTTTACCAAAAGTTCATCGTTTATCAAACTGACCGAGCTGATCCTACTGCGACAGATTCTAACGGGGTACCATTTTTCTATTAAATCTTTTCTGAAAGGAGCTGACGTCAACGCAACAGATGATAATGGGGTGAGAACTGTTGGAAAGCTCGTTTTAGAAATTTTTCGTTGTTTCTCATCCAGCAAAATTGTTTGCAACAAAATCAAAATATCAACAAATCAAAAGCATTAAAGATTATTTTTGTTATTTTTGCTTAATTTTACAAATCTGAGTTATTCAGTTTTTTTTTTTT